TTTTTTTGTCACCATGAGAAAATAAGTACATTTGATAAAAAGCATTAAAATCACTCAAGCATTAAAGACACTTTTAAATGCTCTAATAGTCTTCCTACTTAAAATAAGAAATAATTTTGATACTGTAACTTTTTAAAATGTTTGTTGAAAAAATTTCAAATTTCAGTACATATTTTGAAAAAAAAGAGTGAAAATGATTATAGAGTTTCAGTGCTTTCTATATTGTATTAGCTTTCACGGTGAATAAAAAAATATTACAAGTAAATAATTTTACTAAACCAATCTTTGATTAATTCTTGTAATAGAGATTTATTATGCAACTTTAAATTTTTCGTTGTGTTGATATCCATAAAAAAAACTACCTACCTCTGATCACATTTTTTATTAAAGAAAACAAAAAAACAAAACATTTTATTATTAATAAAAAAATGTGATTATATGATGATCAGACATTATTATGTTATATAAATAAATGTGAATGAAATATCTAATAAAACACACTAAAAACACAAATAAAACACACACCAGCACTTGCCAAACCTAACCAACAATAAACATAAAATGAATGACATGAAATGATTCATAATTGCAATTGTCAAAATTTATTCTACAAAATCTTTGTGGCGACATCTATAGACTCTTTCCCCAACTTGTATATCCATCTCAAGTCACGTGGTTCCCAGTGTCCCCATATTTTCAAGTATAAGTTCTCGGGCCCTGTTCAGAATGTACTAAACCTTGATAGAATTAATATATTTATTTATGTTTTGTGTTTATTTCTTTTAAAAATTAATTTGTATCAGGAGATTACGAATGTTATCTAAATTATCTAAATTGTGAATCATAATATCTGGAAAAATTTTCTATAATAAAAAATATCGAAAATCTTGGAAATTGGAGAAGCTGGAGACGAACAGAATGCAGTTTTGGGTTGGTCAAGGCCGTTATAGTTTGCCGGAATTTTTTTCAGACTTTTCTGTTCTAAAAAGTTCTAAGAAAATCGGCGGTACCATCTATACGTTAAAAGTTCAATTAATTCACCAGCGAATGTCAGGCTGTTACAGTTGGCTACCTGCTAAACAATTCTCTAGTGCAGTGTCTGAGCGATAGATGGCGGCATGAAAATTTGTAATTTTACACATTCTTCTATACATATACCAAGCACTGCATATCTTTTACATTGAATGACCTTGTTCCCAAAAAAAGGAGATAAAAAAGAGTATGTTGCACTTTGTCAATTTTGCGCAAGCCCGAAAATTTAGCGGATTATTTCAAATGAAATTTAATAACTGATGTACTATTAACAGAGCAAAATTACCAATTATTATTTTGTATATCTAATTATACAACTTGTTAATTGTAATTTATGAGAATATTACATAGTGAATGTAAAATAAAATGGGTACAATAAAACGGAATCCAAAAGAGAGTACAAGTGTGTATTTATATAAAATAGTAAACATTTTTAGAAATTTAAAATCGATACATCTTAACGAGTTATCTACCTTAACTAACACATATATAAATAATAATAAAAATAAATCATATATCAATCATATTAACCTGTGTTTCGTGATTCACTGTACCAGATTCAATTTGATTTTCTAATATATGCTAAATATCAATTTTATTAAATATACAATGCAAACCTAGTCAAGATCTTAGAACACATTGAAGCAGTGCTGGTTTTAGATATAAATTGTCCCTACGTATTATTTTTCAAATAAAATAGCTGATCCAGTTTGTGACCCAAACACAAGTAGGTACATTAAGTGTCGTTTCTTTATTTGAACACGATCACGTAAAAACCATGTTTGACCTTTCGCCATATGTAGATGTGGTATCATATATAGTGGGCTTTGTAACTTCACAGGTTATAACTATAATTTCTTGTGACATTTACAAAAAATATATAAAGGGAAACTACTCATCTCCTTTTAATATATAACAGTAATAGTTCACTATGAAACACGAAGTCTCATGCATTAGCAAAATGTGGAATTTCTATAGCTACTGATTGGACACGTAAAAATTTGCTTTAGCCAATTTCATCACTTAATTAATAAAAATCCTCAATCAATAAAACCTTAAGTATTCATAGGGTGTAAAGATATACATTTTTACTTATAATAGCTATTTATGATATACGTGTTAAAAGTAAGATTTTATTTTGTGAGTGAAGATGATTAAAAAACGAGCGTAGCGAGTTTTTTAACTTCACGAACAAAATAAAATCACTTTTAACACGTATATCATACACTATTTTTTCTACAAAACTGTTAAAAGTGGGCTTTTTAATTGTCATTTTTGATGTTAAAAATGTCATTTTTTGACACGCGTGTTAAAAGTAAGTTACTTTTAACACTAGTGTTAAAAGTAACTTACAGTGTTAAAAGTAACTTACTTTTAACACGCGTGTCAAAAAATNTTATACATCCTCACACACCCAGGGTTATGGGGTCACGGACTTATTGAGTTGTAGAATTAGATTAGGAAGTTTGCCAACTCAGTCATGTTAATCGTATGAGATCCATGTTCCTACATAGTTTCATGGATCTACACTTTTACACATCCAAGGTTACAGGGTTATATGTGACGGGGTTAGGAAGCTCTGGGTTTATTGAGTTATAGAGCAAGTCTCATGACTGCGAACGTTTTTCCAGTCACTTACTACCAGTTTTTTGAAATCTCGAAAACCGCTTCCTAAAAAGAAGTGCCTTGATGTTATAGTCAATAGTAGTGATGGGCATAATCGACCAATTTTGATAATCGAGTTATCGGTAATCGAGTACTTCTAATAATCGAGTGATCACTCGAGATACGAGATATTGGTCGTTTTCATCCCAGCGGCGCACAAATATGTTTGTATTAGTCATATATTACTTATATGCGTAGCTAAAAAAAAAAAAAGCTCACGCACTTCAAAACCTAACCACTTTTTTGTTTTATTCTAAAAAAAAGGTTACGCAATCAGTGACTATTTGCAGTATCCACTAACATTTTGGGGTGCATTCGCAGGGTAATAATCACTCGAGTGGTGGGAGTAAACATCTCGAGATATCTCAATAATCGAGTACCACTCGATTTTTCACTCGAAATCTCCCATCACTAGTTATATGTATAGAAGTATGTGGGCCTGATAAGTCCCATGTCGCCGCGGCTTAATTAGGCCTATTGTTCGTCCCACTACTAGTACTTCAGTACACAAGTATACGATACGATCCACTTCACTGAACGAAAGACTGATTAGAATTGCAATAACCCGTTTCAAAAATTTATGAAATCCTGCGCGATTTAGTTATTCAGATAAGAAGAAGAAGAGGAGATCTGGAGTAGTGTTCTTAGTTCTTATTCCCCCCCCCCCCTTGCCCGCTAACCTTTTCTGTTTCAGAGACAGCCAGGATCAAGAAACGAAGACAACGACACACACACACATACACACCCCCCATACCCTCCTTAACCCTCCCCTCCCGCGCTAGCCTAAGGGCCACCTTAGCAAAGCGCATCCCAGGCTGCATAGCCGCACTACCCTACCCAACCATACCACACATAAACATGACACTACCCCCGGGGTTTACACAGACGAGCCGGCGAAGCAAGAAGAGCGCCAGAAGAAAGGGCCCTAGTCGGCAGGGCCCAGCCAGGACAAAAGGAGGTCCCACAAAGCGCCTACACCGGCCGCATTTGCGGTCGGGGTAGACGACGGATGGGGCCCACCTACGAAGGCTGTCCAGGCCTACACGAGATGAGGCAGGATAAAGAGGGATAATCCCCCTCGATCCCAAATCATTGAGGCCAATTTCTAGCCATAGAATAATGGCGCGTAGTTCTTATTTATCTTAGGCTTATATTTAGTTATAAAAAAGAAAGAGGTTATGTATTAGTTTATGTGCGAAAAAGAGGCGTTGTTTAAGATTTATGCCTTTATGGAAAAATAAAGTTTTATAGAAAAATAGTGTACCTTCATGAAAAATTATTTACTTTAGTGGCACCACCTCCAATTTTCACAAAATTTTGTCTATCCCCCTATTTTCTATGGTGCTGAACACGAATCTGAAGTATTTTTTGTGCGGCCGAACCCAGTTTTTGAGAAAAAATTTTTTCAAAATTCTAACCTGAATATTTCAGATAACACTACGTAGAACTCTGTATATTTTATGTAGCTTTCAGAACATCTGTAATAAACAATGAACATTGTTTAAGAAACGCATTTTCCCAAATTTGAACTAAAAAAAATATGCATTTAGTAAATAAAATTATAGTAACTTTATGTGGGATCAACAGTGTTGAATGAGAGTGGGGGAACTCAATGTTGTCATCACGAATTACAAATGGCGGATTCAAACTACAAAATTTTTATTTATTAAATACATATCTTTTTACTTGAAATTTACGAAAATGTGTTTCGTGAACAGTGTTTATTGTTCATAACAGATGTTCTGGAAAGCTACATAAAATATACATAGTTGTACGTAGCGTTATCTGAAATATCCAGGTTAGAATTTTGAAAAAATTTTTTCTCGAAAACTAGGTTCGACCGCACAAAAAAAACTGCAGATTCGTGTTCAGCACCATTGAAAATAGGGGGGGGGGGGTAGACAAAATTTCGTGAAAATTGGAGGTGGTGCCACTAAAGTAAATAATTACCCAGCCACCCGGCTATTGTTCCCTACAGAATGAATAATGTATTTCTAATAACCAGAAAATTTTCAGAGAATTAAAGAGCCTTTGTAAAGGCGGTTTCGTATGCACGTAGGGTCGCTAAGCACGCTGTGATGATAAAGAAAGGATAAATAAAACGACAAAGAAAACATTAAAGCAATATATTCACAAACGAATACATAATCTTGGGACATGACGTAACAGAATTCGACTAAAACTTTAAAAAAAACTCTAGCTGAAACATCACTGTTTAGCCACATGACCACAAGATCGTACGCACGGTTAAGTAAGTAATAGATACAAATATTATAAAACTACATTGTGATTTATCGACTAACATCCCTAAACATGGTATATACAATCATAGTCTCCTAGGCGGCTAATTAATATCACGGAACGTAAATACTATTTAAATAAATATACAGTCTTTACAGGTTAAATGCTTACGTGACAAACGAATCGGACTAGAAATAAATCTTTATGGCTTTAAACATCGCAACTAGCACTCGACAGCTAAACACAAGCAAGAAGACGAGTTTTTCCCCCAACGTGGACCATTTCAAATACAAACGACAACGTTACTGTATCGAAAATGTCGACGGGAGCAAAAAAAACGCCTTCTCACCGACGAACATCTTCCTCGAAAAAAAATAAAATACAATTAACCACAACACACTGAAAAATAAAGTGATCGTCAATTAACGGGAAACAAAAACTCGCGTTTTCCTTTTCCGATTAAAATCAAATCAAAGAGAACATTAAACAGTGATGCTTAGGTACAGTGGAATATAAAAAACATGCAAAATATTAAGCCCTAACTAAAAAAAAATTCCCTTAAAAATTTAATCAAACCACGTTCGCGGTGGCCGCAGAAGCGTTTATCGCCTGCTGCAGCCTGATACCGTCCTCATTCTCATCCATTATTATAAAAGATCCTAACCTAGAAATGCGTTTGGTGGGGTCCCCCTCTTCCGGTACCTTACTCCTCAAGATGGGACCGTCCTTGTTATCGAATGTATTACTTCTGATCAACCTGGGGGCCTCGGGCTCGGATTCCGACTGAATCCACACCCTCGTGTCCTTTTTGGCCGGCTTCTTCTTGCTATCCTCGATCTTCTTCCAGAGGCTCGCTATTTTGCTCGTTACTTGTTTTTTGGCGCTCGCGCTGCCGTTTGAGGTTATACTCGAATTGCTATTGGACCTGTAAACGATTCGACATGTAAAATACATGAAAAAAAAAACAACAAACTTTAAACTTTAATTTGTATACATCCTACCTTACCTTTGCGCCGGGCTGGGAATTCCCGATTTCTTGACCGCCCCGTTCACCATCCTCGGCTCGTTCTTCAGGCTGTAGCTGGAAGGCGACGGCTGCATCTTCCTGACTGGTTCCCTGCTGTCGGCGCTCGTCGATCGGTTGTAAATCCTCGTGTTCTTATTGGCCCTGTCCGAACTGGCGGATTTCACGTAGCCATTTCTGACGGACGTGGGGGGCTTGCCGGAATTATTCGGTATCTTCGATGTCGTGGGCGCCACCGACCTGGCTATTTTCGATGTGAAGGCGGGTATTTTAGACGTCGTGGAAGGGGTGGGGATTTTACTAGACGGTTTGGGAATGTTGCTGGGGCTGGGTTCGTCTTTCGTGAACGTCCCCTGCCTCTCCATCGGAGGGGTACCTTAAATTTGATAATTATTTATTAATGGGAAATCCATCACATAATTCAGTTACTGTCCGTGACAGTATAGGGATCAAAAAGTTAACAACTGGCACGGAACTTATTTTAATGTACAGTTTTCAGTGTGGAAATCATAAAATATGTTGAAAAAATTACTTTAAAACGTTTACAGGATGTTAGTGTTAAAAACTTATTAATTAAAATGTGAAAATAATACTACGTCTTGTTCACTCGCCCGCATATGACATGCAGTGACACACTTCAGCTGGAAACTGAAACGGTCGGGATTTCAAGAAGCCTCAGTGGTCTGTCTTTTTGACACGATAAGCAATGATAGAAATAGGCACTTGAAACAAGAGAACCATCCAAAAGCATGTGTGTAGACTTCATTTTCAAAATTGCGTCCAAAGTTTGCAAAATAGTTTTTTTCATTAAAAAAAACCACATTTTAGAAAAAAATGTTTTAGACAGAAGTTGTAGAGCTTTTTATAACAAAAATCTTGAGCCTAGCCCGATGTCAATTGATAAACAAATGTATTAGTTATTGCAAAAAAACGGCTAAACATCCCATTTTTTTTAAACTTCTATCTTTAAAATGAAAAAATATTTTTTACGAAATTTTCAGGATATGTAGACCTTGGCAAGTAGAATAAGTGCAATTTTGTAATATTACAAAATATTTGATAGTTTTTGCAAAAATTGAGTTTTTTGAGAAAATTACATTTTTTTTTTCAAGTTTCAATAAATCATACAGTAATGCACTTACGTGAGCCATCTCGAGCTTATAATTTTCTCTTTCCTATGCAAATTGTACGCATATTGCTAAATAATTGGAAATATGCAAAAAATCTACCGAAACTTTGAATTCTTTTTTCGGATCAAAAAATGTAGATCTTTTGGTTATCATTGAAATTTAATGGGAATAGCATTATTGTCATTTGAAAGATGACATTTTTTCATAAATTAAAAAAAAATGTCCTACAACCAATGGGAACCAAGGAAAAAATTTTTTTTTTCAAAAAATCATTTATTAAAATTAAGATTTAAAATTTACAAATATTGTAGTTGAATACTTTTACTTCAATATAAAAAATAGTCCGTAATGATTGACCTCCTTTTTTTTTAAAAATTAACTTAATTTTGTTGGACTCTGTAAAATCCTTGTTCCGCTTCACACTTTTATGTGCATTGTGGGAGGGAGAAAACTATAACGTGACTGTTGTATTTGTTGAAAATAAAGTTTTGGGTCAAACAATGAGTTTTTTCTTGTATTTTTTTCCATACAATTGAATGGTGTTTAGTTTCTGATTTTTTTAAAATTTAAATAAATTACTGAAAAATTCATTGTTGCATCATTTTTTATTTTTTTTGCATTTTTGAGCATGTTTTTGAACTGTGATTACAGATTTATTTTTTTTTTCCATCAAAAAGTATACGTAAAACGAAAAAAATTATTACCGGCAGAACTCTGTACGATGATTTTTCTACGTAGAATTTTTCTTTGAAAAAAAAAAGTATTTCAGACCGGAAAAAATTAATATCTGGATACTTTTTTTGGAAGTCAACTTTCGCCAGAAATCCCAATGATACAAAAATTATTGAAAAATTCCTTGTTGCAAGTCACTTTTAATTTTTTTTGCATTTTTGAACATGTTTTTGAACTGCGATTACAGATTTTTTTATTTCACCAAAAAGTATGTTAAAACGAAAAAAATAATCACCGGCAGAACTCTAGAACTAGAATTTTTTTTGAAAAAAGCGTTTCAGACCGGAAAAAATGAATATCTGGATACTTTTTTGTTTGATGTCAACTTTTGCCAGAAATCCCAATGATACAATTTTTTCCAACTTTTCAACCCCCCAAATCAACCATCCGCCACCCCTACTCGCGCATTTATTTTTTTTTTTACGTTTATTATAAGCCCCTTTACCATTTCCATTTATAAAAGTTCAGGTAACAATTTTTTTCCCCTCTAAATGAGTTATTACGATCTGTCTAATTTGTTTATTAATTGACATGAGTTTGGGCTCAAAATTACTGAAAAATTCATTGTTGCGTCATTTTTAATTTTTTTTTGAATTTTTGACCACGTTTTTGAACTGTGATTACAGATTTTTTTTTTTTCACTAAAAAGTATATGTAAAACGAAAAAAATGATCACCGGCAGAACTCTGAACAATGATTTTTCTACGTAAAATTTTTCTTTGAAAAAAAAAGTGTTTCAGACCGGAAAAAATGAATATTTCGGAATTTCCTGATTTTTTTATCTAAAAAAATTCGTGGCTATTTAAGACACAGAAAGGTATACTTTCACCAAATTTCGTCAAAATTAAATTATTTCTGTGGAAATAAGAAGTTAAAAACAAAAAATAAAAAAAAAATTGTTTTTCACGTTTTTCTCTGAAATTTTGAGGTTATTTTAGAAAGTCACTTCTACAAAAGTTGTAGATTTTTGTATGATCTACAACTTTTTTATTGGATACTTTTTTGTTTGATGTCAACTTTCGCCAGAAATCCCAATGATACAGTTTTTCCCAACTTCTCCACCCCCCAAATCAACCCTCCGCCACCCCTGCTCATGCATTTATATTTTTTTTCGTTTATTATTAGCCCCTTTATCATTTCCACTTATAAAAGTTCAGATAACAATTTTTTTTCCCTCTAAATGAGTTATTTCGATCGGTCTAATTTGTTTATCAATTGACACGGTCTGGGCTCAAAGTTACTGAAAAATTCATTGTCGCAAGTCATTTAAAATATTTTTTTGCATTTTTGAGCATGTTTTTGAACTGCGATTACAGATTTTTTTATTTCACCAAAAAGTATATGTCAAAACGAAAAAAATGATCACCGGCAGAACTCTGTACGATGATTTTTCTAAGTAGAATTTTTCTTTGAAAAAAGAGTGTTTCAGACCGAAAAAAATGAATATCTCGGAAACTTCTTGATTTTTTTATCTGAAAAAATTCGTGGCTATTTAAGACACAGAAAGGGATATTTTCACAAAGTTTCGTTAAAATTAAATTATTGTTGTGGAAATGAGAAATAAAAAACAAAAAATAAGAAAAAACTCCTTTTTCGCATTTTTCTCAGAAATTTTGAGGTTATCTTAAAAAGTGACCTCAAAAGTTGTAGATTTTTGCAAGATCTACAACTTTTGTATTGGATACTTATTTGTTTGACGTTAACTTTCCCCAGAAATCCGAATGATACAATTTTTCACAACTTTTCAACCCCACAAATCAACCCTCCGCCACCCCTGCTCACACATTTATTATTTTTACGTTTATTATAAGCCCCTTTACCATTTCCACTTATAAAAGTCCAGGTAACAATTTTTTTTTCTGAACTAAATTTTAGCACATAAAAATCTAATTTGATTGGACTATCACGTGAAATGAACTACACATTACAATTTCCACGCAGAGAAGACACATACAGCAATGGCTTTTTTTTTAACAAAAACTTACCCTTTGGAGTCGCTGCTTGTTGCTTGGCAGCCGCCGGCACATGCTTGGGACTGCCCTTACTCAACGGAACCCTAGCAGGACTCGTTTTCGGCGAACTGGAATTAGACAGGGTCTTGCTCCCGTACCCGCTAGAAGTCCTACTCTGCGTCACCGGCGGCTTCACAGCGGTCGTCTTATTCTGCTTGACGACGACGGTCTTCAAAGCGGTACCGGACTTCAGAGTCGAGGTTACGTTCTTCACCAGATTACTAGCCATCGTCTTGGCGGGTTTTATATTCTTCGGCGCCACCTTGTTGTTGATGTTGCTCTTCGAGTACAGTGGTTTCCTGCGGCCGCGGATACCTCTGCCCTGCTCTTCGTTAACCGCTTCCTCGGCCTGCTCCACGGGTTTCTCTTCCGGTTTCACGATTTTCGGTTTCCCTGCAGGCTTGGGCTCCGCTCTTTCTTCTCCTCCATCCTCGTTCAAGTACTCATCGCGTACGTTCGTGACGGTTAACTCGTCGGACAGTTGTTCTGGATCATTTGAGAAATTGGATTGACAATTTACAAGACCGTCTTCATTGTTGTTCTCCGAGTTAACGATGGGAATGTTTTTTCTGAAACCCCAACTCTTGTGATACGTTCTGTAGTTCACAGAACTCCCAGAATTGTGCTCAGAGTCATCGTCGTTGCTGACTAAACTCAACGTCTCGCAGTCCAGCAGCTCGTCTTGCGTTGTCTTCGTATCTCTCAGGGTCCTCAGTACTAAATCGGCTTCTTTCTGCAGGTGTAGGTGCAGCTCCGCGTCTCCGTTTATCAACGGCGGAGAGGCCGACGAGATCTCGGGCGAGAAACTCGATTCGCTCAGGGTTTGGGTCCTGAAACGATCTTTGTTTTCTAGTCGTTTCTGCATGAAGTTTCTACGTATGCTCAATTTGGTCCTGGCCGGACTTTGAGCCGGCGATGAACCGCAACTGTTGGAGTCACAACTCTGATTCTGGCTGTCGGAGGGAGGAGGGGTTTCTATGATCGGCTGCTGTAGGATGCTCGTGATTGCTTCGTCCAAGACTTGTGTCTCAAAACGGGACCTGAAAATAATCGTCTTGTCAGTAAATACACGATTTTTCAATAAATATGGTTTTCGATAAATATGGTAAAGGGAAAACACACTTCATTGCCTACGATTCGAGCACTATTTAATTTTGTAAAGTATAAAAAAAAAATCTGTAGCAAATTTTCAAGAAAAAAAAATTAAATATATATTTCGGGGCTCTTTTGAAAAAAAAATTGATCGGTTTTCGGAGAATGGTTTTTCTTAACTGAACTAAAATTTTCCTTAACTACAAAATCTGAGCCAAAATATTAGATAGGATTTTTTATTTTCTTGTAATTCTGTTATACAGACTGCAACTTTGAATGGATGGAATTTATACGGGGCTTTGCCCTTCAGAAACTCATAACATAAATATTAGGGTAGGTCAAAAAATCGACTATTTTTTTTTACTTTATACTCTGAAAAATAGGTTGCTAGACACCTCTAGAAAATTCTCTCCAAATATGAGCTCTTAATTTTAATAGGAAGGTTCTCCGCTTTACAGTTTTCCATTTTTTCTGCAGTATTAGAAAAAAAAATTCATATCTCTCTATCAACTGTTCGTTAATAATATCTCTCCTCTATTGGAAATTGAACGCTCTACAAAAAAGGTCTCTTACAATTTTTTCGTAAACCTCACCGTTTAAAAGATATTAAAGGTTGAAATTTGATTATTTATTATTTTAAGACAAATTTCTGTTTTGCTTATGAATTTTATCTTGTTACCAAAAAATCATTATGAAATGCGCAATTCATAATTTTGTAGGAAACTGCTCTACAAAAATGGTCTCTTATGATTAATCGATTAAATAAAGCGTTTAAAAGATATTCATCGTCAAACTTCAATGCACTCCAATTTTAACAGTTTTTGATTAATAATTCGGAAAATTTCAATTTAGTTAATGAGTTTCAGGGAAATTTATACAAATTTGAATTTCTATGAACAGAGAAATGTTTTAAACTATTTCTCTAGTTTTTTTTTAGTCGTAAACATGTTTGGTTACATCGAAATAGTGCATTATTTCTGACTGAGTGAATGATTCATTAAATCTTGAAAAAATAACGTTTTCGTCAGAAATTTATTATGAAAAGTATTAATCTTAAGATTAATACTTTTAGAAAAAAGAGAAATTAGAAAAAAAAAGTTCAATTTGTTATTAAAAAGTTTTTTTATTTAATTATCGTGTTATAAAATTTCAAACATTTATAAAATATTCGTACTTTCACTGTAAAAAATTTTCTTTATAAATAATATAAAATAGTTTAAAACATTTCTCTGTTCACAGAAACTCAAATTTGTATAAATCTCCCTGAAACTCATAAACTAAATTGAAATTTTCAGAATTATTAATCAAAAACTGTTAAAATTGGAGTGCATTGAAATTTGACGATGAATATCTTTTAAACGCTTTATTTAATCGACTAATCATAAGAGACCATTTTTGTAGAGCAATTAATTTCCTACAAAACTATGAATTGCGCATTTCATAATGATTTTTTGTTAACAAGTTATAAAATTCATAAGCAAAACAGAAATTTGTCTTAAAATAATCAAATTTCAACCTTTAATATCTTTTAAACGGTGAGGTTTACGAAAAAATTGTAAGAGATCTTTCTTGTAGAGCGTTCAATTTCCTATAAGTATATGAGGAGAGATATTTTTAACGAACAGTTGATAGATATGAATTTTTTTTTCTAATACTGCGGAAAAATTGAAAAACTGTAAAGCGGAGAACCTTCCTATTAAAATTAAGAGCTCATATTTGGAGAGAATTTTCTAGAGGTGTCTAGCAACCTATTTTCAGAGTATAAAGTAAAAAAAAATAGTCGATTTGTTTTGACCTACCCTAATAAATGTTTTCTCAAATTCCTTTGTGAAAACTGGATTTTTTAAAATCTTTTTTTCATAATTCTCATACCCCACCGCTGAATAGTTCAGAAATTTAACAATGAAAACTAGGGCGGCCCAAATAAAACTAATTTTTTTTCGTGTCTTGTGAAAATATGTCATGTATTAAAAGCCCCCTCAAAAAATCAGATAAAAAAAAATTTTTTGGAACGCTCAAAATTTTTAAAAATTTCCAAAATCGTCAAAAATTGAATTTTTTTACTCGCTATTTTATCAATTTCTAAGTTGAAAAAAATCTCGATTCTGAAAATTTCAAATCGATAATTTAATTTCTAAAGGTCGCTTATAATTAACTTTAAAAGTAGTGTACTTAAAATGTTTTCAAGCGACCTCTAAAAATAAATATCAACGAACTAATAATTTTTTTTATTGAATTTGATGAACAAAAGAATAGAAATAAATCACGAGACACTTAAAAAATTTCTCGAGGCAAAATTTATTACAGCACTATCAAATATTTATAATTTATTAATTTTTTTAAATTTAAGTGTCCTGTGATTTGCTTCTATTCTTTTGTTCATCAAATTGAATAAAAAAAAATTATTAGTTCATTGATATTTATTTTTAGAAGTAGCTCGAAAACATTTTAGATACACTACTTTTAAAGTTAAAATAATTATGAGTGACCTTTAGAAATTAGAATATCGATTTGAAATTTTCAGAATCGAGATTTTTTTCAACCTAGAAAATGATAAAATAACGAGAAAAAAATTTAAAAAAAAAATTAAATTTTTGATTTTGAAAATTTTTAAAAATCTTAAGCGACCTCTAAAAACATTTTTTTGTAGCTAATTTTTTGAGGCTCTTAAAACATGATAAGACACGAAAAAAAAATTCGCTTTTACTACTGTACTAAAAAAAAGTTTTCAGTCACGAAATTCATGGGATGGCAATTTTAAGGGATAGAATATGAAATTGTCATTTAAAAATATTCTCGGCAAGGAAAGTTTTAATTTTTGAGGCAGAAACAGTCATTTTTATTGGACATAATTAGCCGCAAATCTGCAACACCTCCTGAGCTTGTGTAATTAGTAGATTCGGTTAAATTAGAAAAATGATTAATATGTTTGTTATTATAAAATGCACATTTTGTTTGTTTCACATTTACTAAAAAAAAATTATATAAAATCTTTTTGGGCAACACCGATCTTTTTACAAAGATTTAAACGAATATAAGTGATCCAGAGAAGTATTCGAATTATCTGATGACTTCACGCCAGCTTGAAACTCTTACAAAAACTCCTCGGAATGAACGCTTAGTTTTAGATCAGAATGCTAAAATTTTGTAGCAAATAGTAAAATACAATTTAACCTTCGATCGACGTCGCAAAAGCATTAAAAAAAATTTGCGTTCTGCGAGTAAAACAAAAAATATTAAATTCGCTGAAAGAAAACAGTAAATTTCATAACTGTGAAAAGTTACGTTAATATTTCACGCAAAAAGTCGCAACATGACCTACCCTATTACAAACATCTCATAAACGATAAACTGAAGATTAAAATCAAAGTAACAAAATAAAGCAGACATATTTGGCCATTCTCATTTCACCCGTTTAACGTTGCCAGTTTGTTTTTTGCCCGCCTAGCGCCCTGTTGTCATATCACATCAGATGTATTGATATTACGCAACGCACTTAAACTAGGTTAATGTTCAGAGATTATCAACACTGACGTTCAGAAACCAAACAATGCTTTTTAAAAAATAGTTTTTTTTATTACAAACTCGAAGTAATATAAAAAAGTATTTAAAATTTATCACACAATTATTTTAATTTATTCTGTACAGTAAAAAAAAAATACTTTACTTACAATTAATGACATATACCAATATTACTTATTAAAATAATGCGAAAAACATGAATTTTTTGACACTTGAAAATTTTATTACTGCTCCGAGCCTTGTCTGCAGAGATTTTATTATAAATTATGATGACTTTAAAATGACACGTTACATAGAGCCGGATTCAGGGGCTGCCCGGCGATGGTGTAGACAGATTTTCAGTGCAGTTTAAAAAGTGAATAACTCGACCATTTAATCTTTTAAAAAAAAATTGATACTATTTTCAAATTTAAACAGTAAAATTTGATAGATCCGAGTTTTCTATTAAAAATGGTAATGTTTTATATCGAAAAAGTAATACGTTTTCGAAAAAAATCAGTTTAAATGTTATAAACACTTTCCAGTGTGCTTTTCTACGCAGTTAAATCTGTTTTTCTTGGAAATAGAGCATTTTATCTAAAGAAATAGAGTTCATATGTTGGCCTCATCATATGTTGGCCTCTTAATTTGAAAATTTCGACAAGCAAAAAAATTGGGGCAAATATTAGCCGACAACCTCCCCAATTGAGACGACCCTGATCAAAATTTTTGAAAAATTTTATAATGATCTATTTCGACTTTTAATGAGTGTTCATGGTGTTAAAATTCATAATTTTCCTTCAACCCATTTCGGAAATATTAAAAATAAATAATATTGGACACTACTTATGAGACACCCTGTATATTTTGCAGTATTCCCGTTAATGAATAAATAGATAAAAAAGAATGAGGAAAGAAAAAACAAAAATCAGACTTTACACCATTGGGGAGATTGGAGTAATTGTAATATATCATACAAATAATCAGAAGTGGGATTTTTGAGGGAAATTAAAAAACTCACCTATTCAACTGCCTCTTCTCCCTCGGAGTCAACTTCGGCGACGTAACGCTGTAACTCGACGAGACGTACGTGGTGTCGCTCACAGACCTATCTTGCAGCTGCCGCGCCGTCCTGGAATCCTCTGTAGACTCGCTGTTCTCCCTCGCCTTCTCCCCTTCTTCCCGCATAACCATCTCCGCTGCGACGGTGTACGTCTTATACCGGTCCCTCGCCAGACTCCTCCTCTGTTTCGTTGTCATAGATTTCGTCAGGGTTTTCGACTTTTTCGGCGTCGACTCCGCGCTGCTCAGATCGGAAAGGATGGGAGTCGCGCTGTGAGCATCCGAAAATTCAGTCACCTCATCGGCCAATGTGATATTCTCCTCCTGCAGTGTCATCTCAGCGACGTGAGTGTAGCAGTCTTCGAAAATATCGCCGGTTTCGGTACAGATCGTCTCGGATCCGAAGTCAGCAAGGGAATTACAAAAGTCGGTTATTTCGTTAAATAACGAAGGTGGATTTATGTTCTCCAGTTCGCAGCTGTAGTTCGACACGTTGAACGGTTGTTTCACGTTGAATATGGGGTGCTGGCTGTTTTGTACGTCTTTACCCACGATTCCGTTTACGATGAAGTCCGTTTTAATGTCGTTCTCGCTGGGTAGGCTCGCAACGCTGGTCATGCTGCCTTCCAGATCGAAGACGTCGTGGAGGTCCGATGGTGGGTTGACGTGATCCAAATTGGACAAACTCTGGTTTTCCAGGCTCTCCAAGCTAGAACCATGGTTTAAAGAGTTGCTAAGTGCTCTTCTAACCATGAGACCAGCGGACAACGATTTCTTCCTCGCCGTTAATTTCGGGCTCTTCGGAATGCCCTTTTCCAAGCCAACGGCGCTGTTCGTTAGGGAATTCAGGTGAGAGGGCGGCTGTACGTGGTCCAATTCCAAGGAAGCGGCGCTGTTTATGCTCAGGGACATTTCCGCCTCGTTCTTGAAAACTGTCGCCATTTTACTGGCTTCGATGGCGATTAGAGTACTCTCCGTCATCGTGCTGGTGTTGATCGAGGAAAAGTCGTTCGAAGGAGCTTCTTTGCTTTCGTTCGCTCCGTCCACCGCATCCTCTTCTATTTTGTTGGAATCCTCTTCGTTGCTGAAAGTAATCACGTTCGGTGCACTGCCGGATATGCTGGGAAACGTTACTTCGTTCGGGGACGTGTCTTCGTTCCAAGTGTTGTCTCCAGTCGAAACTTTGTATTTGTCCTCGTCTTTGTTCAGGTGGCTCGCCTGCGAAACCAACTCCGCCGTGAATCTGTCTAAAGATTCTATCATCGCGTCCGGGTCTAACATTCGATTGTCCACCGCCCTCGAGTCTTCGCAGCTCCTCGCCAGACAATCTTCGATTCCGATGTTATCAGCGGCCGAAAACACGAAAGCAGCTGCCGTGTTATTGTAGTCCTCCTCTTTGAGGATTCTCGAAAGTGATTTGTTAGATCCGCTCTTCGTGAGGCTTCCCTTGATATTATCGGTGGGGGAAAACGCAAACGCCGCGGTTATATCGTCGCAACTGTCCTCCTTGAGGATCCTCGATAGGGATTCACTAGATCCACTCTTCGTGAGACCTGTCGATGAGATCCCTTCGGAAGGCGAGCATTTGCCCCGTGATGTATCTGTTGGGATCCCTGACCTCCCGGCTGCTCCTTGAATGGGCCCTGGGCTCCCTGTCCCTTTCTCTGGTTCTGGATTTTCTTCTACGCCTGCCGCCGCGGTTGGCATTTCGGGACACGTTGCGTTGGCTTGAACTGTTGTGCTCCCGGCAACAGACGCAGCATTCACGTTTTTTGGCTTCTGCTCCTCGTCTGGTGGTGGCGGTGGTGGCTGTCTGTCTCGGCTGTGCGATTTTCCCATGCTCCTCCTCTCGACGGGCCTAAAAAAAAATCAATGTGAAAAAGAGTTTTTTACACAAATCAGAAAAGGTCATTTTTATTACGGCTGGATAGATATTTTTTCTAGTGCCCCCCGACGTTAACATTGGACGTTCTTACCTTGGGACCAGCGCATTGGAAGATCTAGGAGGAGTGACGGATTTGCTCTTGGGCTTCCCGGACGATATGCACTGCTCTAGAAGGGCCTGTTGTGCTTCGGGTGAACCTAACGATTCCAAACTAATCGAGGATAAGGAGTCGCGACGCGAGGACTCCTTCAGGCTCGTATTTTGTTCCTGGGATATATTTAAGTTCGCTAAAAATAGAAAGTACAATTCAGTGCGGAAAAAATACTTCTATTCAAGTACAAGTAAATAAAACAAATTAAAATTAGAAATTGTAAATTCTTTGACAGATTGCAAGATTAGATTAATCGTTTTTTTTCGAATACATCAATATTAAAGGAGAGATTTTTTAACTTTAGTCTTTTGACTTTTATAAAAATTTACGAAAATTTGAGAAACTGATTTTTCGCTTAAAAAATTTTTAACAAAAAAAACAGACACTTGATTTACCGAGTTGAGTTATGCAACAAATATGCATAATTACCCACAAAAACTAAAAAACGCACCAACCTGTCATCGTCACTACTTACTCTGCTGCTGCGCTGTAGACCTAGAGGGCTGCCCGTACCCGGATGCACCTTGTAGCTGGTTACTCGGCTGCGCGGGCCTGAGAATTACAAAAAAAATATTTTTACATAAACCGTACCCGCTTTATCCAGATTCAATCAGCTGATGCACAATTATAATTCCGTGTATGTTTTTTTCGTTGCTTATCACGAAAGTAATAAATTACCAGCGGATTAATATATAAGGATGCTTTATGAGCCAGTGATAAGAACGTTATATTACCGCACTTTAAGATAACACTGGAAAAGTGTCACTGATAAAGATATGAAATATTGCGCGTTATTGGGAGCAAGTGCCTTTTTCAAGCCCCTATGCAGTACTACGGAGTCGGTTCTGCATGGGGGCTTGCAAACCTGCATAAAATGTAAAAGTTGCAAAAAGTTGATATAATATATACAGGGTGACCTAAAATATTATGAAAAAAGAATACAGTAGTTTGATAAAAAAAAAAATTGTAAAAGCCAGTCAAAGTAGAGCAGAGTTTGAGAAATTTTGTGACGAATAACTTACTGAAATTGATTTGAGAAGTTTGACCTTGAAAGTCTTTTTTGTTTTCAAATGTCAATGAAAAACTGAAAATTTTTATTTTCATTTTCATGATTTCAATTGAAAGCGACAAGTGATGAATTTTTTTAAACTTAAATATTTTATAGGACACTTTTATGTAGATAATTTCTTTCAAGTGTCATTTTTACAGAGTGCTTTGAAAACAAAAGAATCAATGAAATTTCGACAGTTCAATTAAATTTTTGTTGAAGATGTCAAAATATAGATAAATAAAAATGTACTTTTCACAGGAACAGGAGCGAGATATGCTTTGAATTTATTGATTATTCATTTTAAGAGAATCTGGCTTTTTCATATAAAAGTTGGTTTTAATTATCCGAAACTTGACATTACCCACGAGCTGTCAAAAATTTAGATAAAATGGAGGAATGTTTTGTTTTCAAAGCACTCTTTGTAAAAATGTCTGGTGTTTTAACAAAAAATAAGAAAGTAAAATATATCATATGAAACATCCTCGTCAGAAAAACATACTGAATTTAAAAATGCGAAAATTTAATATGGTTCCCACAAATAAACAATGTTGGTTATTGTATATGTGAATTTCTCCAAAAAAGTGTCCTAATAATATCTGAATTCAAAAAGTCCAGTTCTTTCCATTTTTGAATTAAAAAATAAAAAACAAAAATTAAAATTTTCAATTATTCTTCGATAACTTCAAAACAAAACAACAAATTTGTTCTTGGCAATTCGCCATCAAATTTTCTGATTTCTTTATAACTTGATTGACTTTTAGCATATTCGAAATCCCAATAAGGCAGTTTGATAAACAGTCACCCTGTATAACACCGATGAGAGATTTATGTGACCATAAAATTATCATTGTGAGAAATTTGTTGACAATTATTTCAAACAATACGAAGTAAATATTAGTACACATTTTTTAAAAATATTATGTATTTGTCTATTTACATAATATTTCATGTAAAATCTGTAAATAACTGTAAAATACGTACTTAACGTAAGACAAAGCGAATCCTTTAATACCGTATGATTTAATTGGTATCTTGTCACTTGATAAATATCGATAAACACTAAATTATACTCTAACAACAACATTCAACTTTATCGAAATTAAACAAACTGTAAACTATGTAAATTATCGGAACTGTTTTGTTATGAAACACAAAGTAAACAAGAAAATAGGCCGCCCACACAAAAAAATCTGCATGCAGATCCATTTAGGTGGATGCCTACACGTTGTATAAATCGAAAAAAAAATCAAGGCCCAAGAACTCAAGGAAGATTACTGAGAACAACAAATCCTCAGGTTTCACACCTACTGTCTTCACATTTAAATTAAACGTTTCAATAAATCAACGCTATTAAAACCAAGATAAAAAGTCGGGGGAACAAAATAATGGTCTACTAAAATAGTTCAGAGTGAAATAAAATGTTTAGAAGTACTGCGTAGAAGGTAGTTATTTGGTTTTATACCAAATTTTAGGAGTGGGTAGCTTAGTAAAAAAATTAAAAAAAATAATATTCTGTTCCCATAAAATTTTTACTTTTTGAGAAATGAGACGGTTTTCTTTAAAAAAAAAAAATCTCAAATATTTTCCGAAGGTCAAACATTGTTGAAATTTTACATGTTTGCGACGGTGGAGTTACATTTTGAAAAGTATTTCTAATTATTCAGTTTTATCAGTAACATGGATAAAAGGGGTGTGGGATGCTATTACTAAACAGGGTGTTTTTAATTTTAAAGGGTTAATCTTTGACTAATTTTAAGATAGAAAGTTTAAGGTAGAAAGCAGCAGAAATAATGAGCCGAATAGAAGAAGCGGAATTAGTGACATGAAATTAAAATAAAAAAATTAGTCATTTGACTGCTACGAGTAACAATACGACCTTTGCATCGAGTCATTTTGCGCTCCATATTTGCTAAATTTACAAAAAAAAACAAGATATTTTGAATTTTTGGAAAGCTGACCAATGTGATATAAAAATTTTTTTTGGAAAACTCAAAACTTTTAACAAGTATTTTAAATAACTAGCATTTAAAAAATTCAAGGAAAATTTGAGAAATTCCCTGATATTTTCAGAAGTCTGACATTTCCAGGTTTTTCCAGTTTTCCAGATTGGTATACACCTTGTTACTTCTACAGGGTTATCCAAAAGTCCCGGTACGGCAGAAAATCTTTCGAAGAAAGCATTTTAGAAAAAAAAATTTCAGACAAAAGTGTAAGGATTTTTCCCTGGCTAACTGATGGTGACCTTGGATCTGACCTTGACTTTAACCTTCAAGGTCACTTGAAGGTCAAGTTGAGTTTTTTAAATGGAAACCCCAATTTTTTATTGCGGATTTGGAAAGAGCAGGAAATTTTACGTCTTGACCACGACATTGACCTTGCTCTTTCCAAATCCGCAATAAAAAATAGGGCTTTCCATTTAAAAAACTTCACTTGACCTTCAAATGACCTTGAAGGTCAAAGTCAAGGTCAAATCCAAGGTCACCATCAGATGGCCAGGGAAAAATCCTTACACGTATGTCTGAAACTTTTCCCAAAATGCTTTCTTCAAAAGTTATTCTGCCGTACCGGGACTTTTGGATAACCCTGTACATTGATTACCTTTATAAAAAAAATACAGTGAAACGGTCTTATACGTGCTTTTCACTTGGTTTGATTTATTTTTTAAAATCACTAAATCGCCATGCGTGCAGTTAAAAGATAAGAAGCAAAGATTATAACAACCGTGCCAACTCACCGTTTCAGTCTGGCCAAGCTCCCTTCCACCGTCAGGTCACTCAAACTCGACCTCAGAGAGTAATGATACGGGCTGTTCTCCACCGCGTAACTCTCCACTTCGTCCCTCGACGACAAATACGGCGGCAGGGAGTTCTCCCTCCTACTTATATCCGCCCTAGGCGCTTTACTGGCTTCCCCTGATCCCCTCCTCGTATTACCCGGGGGATTATACCTGAACGGTATGTTAGTCTGGATCTGCCTCCTGGGCAGGTAGGACACCGGCTTGGGGCTGAGCTTGGGCTGTTCCGCCTTCGGCTGCGGCATCCCCGATCTTATACACTCCGCCAGGAGTCTTTCGTTGTCCCCCGACAAGTTGCTGCTGTCGTCCGACAGGTAATCCTTCTTGGGACTGGTTTTGCTGTCGGCGTTCGTGTACGATTCGGGTTTCGAGGCATCGGGGGCGTCTTCCGTGTCGTATATCTTGACGCCGTCGACTGAGGGGCGGCTCGCGGGAATTACGGCGGTCGGTGGTTGCGGGAGGCTGCAAGACGAGCCGCGGGAGAGAGGTATGCTGCTGTTGGATTGAGCGTATTTATTGCTGGACAGGGGCAGCTTGCTCAAGGACGCGGGCGGCTGCGTTTTGGGCGGGTTTTGCCTGAGACAATGAAATGTTCGTGTTCGCACGATTTTAAATGGCAAAGAATCAAGATTTCGTGAATAGAAGCATTTGTTAATATTTTAAGTTGATATCCTCGGATGAGAAAGAATATTATCAAATAACTAAAAATTTCTAGAGCAGCATTTTGTTTTTTTCTCCGATTAGTTCCCATTTTTTTTTTAATTTGAGGCATTGTGCATATTTTATTTTGAGTTTTCTTTTATGTTAAATTTATTTACTGCGTAAATTACAAGTATTTTAAAAATATAATTAACAAATATTATTTGCGACTCCAAAAAATCCCTAGAACTGGAAAAAAATCGACGAATTGGCAACACTGTGTGGTTGTGCGTAGGTATATGTATATTATCCACGATTCGAGTATGTGACACCATTGCACATGAATATTTTCCATGATTTAATAAAATAATTAATAACATATAATAACAAAAAAATAATAAAATAAAAATAAAATAAAAAATAAAATAATAAAAAAATAACAAACAAAATAAATAATAATAACAAAATAATTATTCTGGGTGATGAATTATAATGCAAAGTTACCGATTTACAAGTTATTAAGTACGTTCACGAAGTAATAATCGGTGAAATTACTTCACAGAACATTTTTTCACGTCTATTCTAATAAATAACGAATTTACTCACTGCGTATATTGTTTACCCATGCTGATGCAAGCGGCCAATAAGTCCTCGTCACCCTCGTCGTCAGATTCGAGATTGAACTCGTCGGTGTCATCGGAAACGTTAGTTTCCTTTTCGGCGTCCTTTTTCTCAACCTCCGCATCTTCCTCTTTCTGCTCCAGACCTTCCCTGGTCGAATGTTCGGGCTGTTTCGCTTTAAACGGCTAAAAAAACTCATTTTAAAACAATGACAGACGATATTTCCTACAAAATCATCATTCAATTCAATTTTGTCCAAAAAAAAATTATATTTTTACAAGTTTTTGGGTATTCGATACACAACAAATTAAAAATTACTTTTTATTATGAATATTTTTTGTTTATTGCAATTATTGATAATTTTGTAGGTTCTTTCATTAAAAGAACGTGATTAATAAAAAAAATATTATAACCTTTAACCAATTAAAAAAGCTTGAGAGATTTATCTCTGGGATACGATAAATATTTATCGAAAACCCATTCATTTGTTATTTCATTTAATACACCTATCACAATAAAAGAGGAGACATGTACAGAAATAGAAGCTGGAAGAGGCAAAAATCATACCAGCAAAACTTTTTTTATTCTAAAGATAAAAAAAAGATCGACAAAAAACTAGGGACTGAATATTCATATCATTTCCTAAAAAAAATTCTCCAAACAGCAAGATTCAATAGTTGTTACAATTTATAGAAAACCGAAAAAAAAAAATGTAACGGAATAATTAATCTATTATACAGCGTGTAAGTTTGAATGCAGGTCATATTTATACGAAGTTTATAGAAACACCCATCACAAGATTACTTCCTGAAATTCTGTTGTGGAAACCAAATTTTTTTTAATCTTTTTTTTTTTTGTAATGTCATATGCCGCAGAAATTTAACAATGAACACACACAAACACACAATGTAAGGTTATACACTTACACTGTACAAAACACACCACAATTAAATTTTATTATAAAATTAATAAAACATAACGCTACATATACAAATATTATTTTGATAATACTTCGCACAGAAAATTGCCACATTCTGTACCGTACTTCTCGTAAACCGATAAACTGAAGAGGTAAACTAATTATAATAAAATCAAGCGGAGACAAATTCGGTTATTCTCGTTTCGACGAATTAACAGTTGCCGTTTGTTTTTTGCCCGTCTAGCACATTATTGTCATATTACATTAGGTGGACTGTCATGTGGTTCTAATACGGAGATTCAGAAACTAAACACTATGCTTTAAATTTTTTAAATCTATTTTTACTCATTTTTTATTTGTGTATATTTAAGGGGTTACACCACCGTAAAATTTTCAAAAAATTGTTGTTTTTTTTTGCTTAAAAGGTAGTTTGAACCTTCTGGAATATGAGGTAAAAGGTTTTATACATGACAATTTTTTTTTTCTTAATTTTGCGCTTTTCCTGAAGCATGTTCGGGCATCTCTCATACGGCTACCTGCACTATGAACATACTCGCTCGAAAGCTATGCGTACCTTCTTAACTATTGATTTATAACTTCTCTAATACACTCATAGATGTCGTTAGGGAGTATGCGTGTACAATTCAAGCAAAATTTTCAAACAGAAGTACATTAGTGTAATGTCAGTGCACGTTCGTGTCTAAAACTTAAATGTGCTTTTCTCGAAATACGGTTTTTCAAAATAGCACGCACCATAACTCCAACAATTTTCAATATTTTCTTTTGAAATTTTAACCACATATTTAAAACGACATTTTAAAGAGAAACTAGTACGGGTTTTTCGATAAGTTAATTTAAACAATTGTTATAACAAATAATTGCCTCTTTTTTCGTCAAAAATTTAACGTTTTACTTCAGACACTTGCCAATTTTACAAAAAACAATATTTTTTCAATCCCGTACGTGTTTCTCTGGCTATACTCAAGTAGATTAAGAGCAATTTTTTTTGTTCCACCTTGAAATTTGCACGTTCTAGTGCGTGCCGCAGAACGCCTCGACGACAAGATGCTTCAGGAGAATGGCTCCAGTGCCGCCAATTTGAAATATTTTTTAAAGAAAAAAATTTTCTGTACACGTAATACATGCCTAATAAACATATTTAAAAAATGTATTACTGGTTGCCTGTTTCCTATAGAACACTCTTAATACGTACATTAAATAAGTTGTCACTGTTTTCCAATAGATGGCGTTTCCAGAACTGACCCCCAATTAAAATCATACCCTGTATTTAACATTTTTTTTAAATTAACATTTTATTATAATTTTTTTCTTTTTTTTGTGATTTTTCAAAAAAATTAAACTATATTTATTTCCTGCTTAAATCTTGGTAAATTATTTATTATAATCAAATATTAAGACTTTTTACAAATTATTAAAGTTTTATTCCGTGAATTGAATCATTTTTTAAATTATTTGGATTTATTACAAGAACACCCTGTAGACAAATATGACAAATAATAATAATAATAATTATTATTATTTTATTATACACAAATTTTATTGGATAAACCAAATGGTCATCGACTAAAGCCCTTCAGTCAAAATATTAATAAAAAAAAATATACACATTTCTCGAAACAAAGTATACATAAAAAAAAATAAAAACTGTATAAATATTATTTTCATTCAAGTGCAAATTTTTTTTGGATTAATCACAAGTACACATACCTGCGCTTCGCTCGCCTCGTTCGACTCCTCGTGATCGTCGATCGTCAAACTACTGAGGCTGGTGGCAGTCGAGAACTGAATCGGCGTGCTCTCCTCCTTGAATTTGGTAACGTTATCCTCAAAAACGCTCGGCTTCAACGCCGTCCTAGGGGCCGGTTGCGGTCTGCCGTCCGCCAAAAGTCTGGGTTTGGACGTCGTGGGAAATTCTATGGGGCCCTTCCTGGGCTTCGGGCTCGGGGGCACCGTCTGCGTGGGCGAATCGGGCAGTTCGCTCGGCGAAACGATGCCGCTAGTCAATCGACTAAAAAATAAGTAAGCAATTTTCAAAAAAATTGCCGACGTTAAGAGATTTGAAAATAAAAATGTTTTCTAAGAATAAGTATTCATCGAAAGTGTTCGTTTTTTAGTTTTTAGGAAGTTTTTTAAAAATTCTAAAACTGGTTTTTTTAAGGGATGATCCTTTTTATGAAAAAAAAGTTTGCACAAACACATTTAACACTTTCTGAGCTTCGGTGGTGGGCGGAGCCTGGTATAGAGATTCTGATAGCGAGTTTGCCCCCACGGAGCCTAGTCCGAGAACAACAAGGAGCTACGGCTAAGGAAGCGAAAAGTAATTCTGTGACCCCAAAGTTAATTAAATTAACTTTTAACTCACCTCAAATCGGAAACCACGGAACTCCTATCGTCGTGTATGGAATGCTGCTCGATACTGTCCAGGGACGCCAACGAACTTGACCTCGAAAACATCAGGGGAGTCTCTTCGGCGTAATTCACCACCCTCTCGAACTTCACGGCTTTGGCCTCCGAAGGAGTCTTCGGCGGTGTCTTCTCGACCTGTTTCTCCTGCATCTGATTCTCCCTCTCCAAACTCCCGTTTTCTTTTGTTTCGTTCTTCAACGTTTCGTTCGCCGGGATGGAATTCAAAGAACCGAAACTGCTGACCCTCGAGAAATAACCGGGCGTGCCTTCCTCGCAGTAATTTACCGGTTTCTCGGGCGACATCAGGCCGGAACTGAGCTCGGACTTGGGTATCTTGTCTTCGAGTTTCGGCCGATTCTCGATCTCCGATATGTCCTCCGTCGAACAGTGATCTTTCTCGTCCGCGTTCTTATTCACTTCCTTGTTCGTTTTCGGAGCGCTCTCCTTCAACTTGTCGTTGTCTATGACGGGCTTCTCGTCGATACGCAGATCGGACATCGAAGTAGCCGTGGAGAAGTTGAACGGCGTCTCGTAGGGAGTGTCTTCCGTGCAGTACGTTTTAACGGTGTCCTGTACGTATTCCTGCGGTTCGTCTTTCGTTATTTTATTGCAAATATCAGAATCCGAATCGTCCTCGGCGTACCTCAAGGAATAGTCCGTCGGTTGATCTAGATCAGTTTCGGCGTATATGCTGAAGCTCTCCTTCTCCGTTTTCGATTTGTTGTACGAGAAACCGTCCCTATCCTTCCCCGAAGACGTGTTACCGGCATGGTTGCTCGGCAATTTCGTCTCGGAATACTTCTGGCTGTAGTCTATGGGCTGGTCGGACACGTCGATCTCGTCCTCGTAGGCGCAATCGGAAAACTTGTTCCTAACCGGGATGTAAGTGCAGGGGTTTGTACGTTTAATCGGCGGGGTCATGTAGGGCAAACTAGAACTGCCGAAGTTCTGCGGTATCCTAGATTTGGACCTAAACTCGCTGGTGTAGCTCGTTGACGGGTCGTTGAGGTTCAAGCTGGCGAAGGCGGTGCTCAGATGCGCCTCGTCCAGGTTGGAGCTGCTCCTGGGAGGAAGTTCGTATTGCAGATAGTCGGGGCTGGTGGGCGTTTTCGTTTTATGGCGGGGATCTTGTATGAAATCACCGACGGCTCCGTCTTTATCGCTTCGTTTTACGGGGGAGTCCTTCTCGATGTTCTCGTACGTTTCACTCAAGCTCTGATCCAAGTCTTGCATCAGCGCTTTCTGTTTCCTAGCCCCTAGAGTGGGAAGAGCGGGCAGATCCAGGGAGAGGGCCGTCGAGTCCATCTGTGGCAAGAAAGTCTGTTGGGGACGGGCGCTTATTAAATTCTTCAGAGCGGCGCTCGAACCCATTGCGATCATTTTGTGTTTGGAGTGGTTCAGGCTGCGTAACATCGTGGGCGCGCCCATCTGCCACAGAGCTTCCTGGTCGGCGCTGCACTTAGCCGAGAGATTCCAAAGCGTGCCGCAGGCGTTGCTTACGATAGTCAAACTAGGCGATTTTAATTGGTCCAATAGGATCTGCAGGCAGTCGTGTCTCCGTAAAACCTCCCGATAGTCCTCCCTCACCGCTATCTGACTGGAAATGTTCCTGAGTATGCCGCCGGAGTTTTCGATGATCGCCATAGACTTTGAGGGGGTTTTGTACGTCAGCATGTCTACCAGGAAACCTAACGCCCCATCCACGGCGCATATCTCCGATTTATTCTCCGTACAGTGCGCCGAGAGGTTCCACAATGCCGACAGTATCGATTTAAGGGTGTTCTCTTTGTTATCCAACATCGCGGCTTTCATCAGTCCCGTTACCGAGCCCACTTCCCGCAATATCTCCTTGGAAGTCGAATCCGCCCGCCAGGACAGATTCCGCAGGACGCTCGCAGTGACCTAGGAATATAAATTTCGTGTAGATTAGACGATAAAGTAATGTTACGCTTAAATACCTGTCGAAGTTCGTCGCTAGGACTCTGCAGTTGAATCACTAGCGCCCGCATGAACTCCCTAAACGAGCATAACAAAGCTTTGTTGCCGCTGTCACCAAACGTGAGATTGGTAAGTGCCATACAAGCATATCTACGCAATACGATGCAGTGGTTCTCGGTTGTCGTGCTACCGTGCATTGTATGTTCTACCTAAAAAGTGCGAGAGTTACAGAAACGGAGAGTACGATATTATTTAAAACATGTTTATTAAGAAGAAGGTCATCGAGGGTTTTGAATCGTGTAGTAAAAAAAAAACCGTGTGATATTTTATAGTAGAAGGATTATCGAGTAGTGCACTCACCTCCACCAAAGAGGCGATTGTGTGAATCCCTCCGAGATGGCAAATCGCCTGCCGGTGTCCCTCGTCAAAGGACAATTTCATCAAGTGCGCCACTGTTTGTACAGGATGTTTATCTCCATCTAAGCCTGTGGAATACATTTTTATACATTTTTTTAAAAGAATAGGCGTCATAAAATGGGTTTTAATGGTGAGACCTCAAAAACTATACACGAAGAAAGATTTCTAACGGGAATTGCCAACCCTGTAAACTCAAAAATAATACAACTAATATCATTATTTACCTTCTGACATGGAGCTGCTCTCCGATTGCTCGTATTCCGTATTGTTCCGCATCGCTTCCGTGTACCCCTTGCACTGATCCAGCAACTTCAGAATCCTACTCTCCCGTTTCCGCAGCTTCTCGTCCGGCTGCGAATTAACTAAATTGTGCAAAGCCTGCGAGGCTTTCGTCCTTGTATCCCCGTCCCTGTCCGATTGAACTAATTGTACTAACAGCGGAATACAACCTGCAAAGTGTACGTTTTGTTTAATTCACCGTGCCTCAGTGAAAATTTCAAAAACTAACCCGACTGACGCATGGCAAGACAACTTTCCGGGCAAGTACTCAAGGCTAACAGGGTCTCCCCCATGTCGACGTGTTCCTGGCCGCCCAGCATGGCGAGGAGGCTGTGCACGACGTCCATCTTGGCTTCCAGCTGCTGGGAGGTCCATTTACCGCCCCGTTCGGGGCTGCTACCTAGTACCCGGTCAAGGGGAACCCCACCAGAACTCGAGGCGAAGCTCATCACGCTCGTCACCTCCTGAAAGGGTACGGTATGTCTCATGAAATCGATCAATTGCGAGTTTTTTTACATAAGAGGATGATGTATAAACTTTACATTCATCAATTGAACTACTAATGTTCCATTTTCAACCTAGTGAATCACTTTTCTATAATTATTTTGCTATTTTTACCTGTTGCCGTAGTCTGTTAACACTTTTTGAGTAGTTGTTTAGAGGTTTTAAAAAATAAAAAATATAGTCATATACCAGTTTACTATTACCATGTGTATAAAAAAATATAACCTACATATTACTGCTAAATATACGGAGTGATTCAAAACTTATCCAAAAAAAATTTGGATGTATAGGGCTCTTACAAATACGATTTTATAAAGAAAAAATCAAAGAAGGCATGTTCAAAATTTTGTCCACCCACATCCACATTTGGGCCCGTCTTACTCAGTTTCTACGAACTAACACAAATGTTGTCCTGTTTCACCATAATAGAAATCTTGTCTTGCTTCACAATAAATTAAAACGATATCCATCAACTCCAAGTTGCTATACACGCAAGTCTTTTTTGACATTAACTACTAAAAAACTATTGTAAACACTATCGCAACAACGATTGTAAAATGGGATAGGAAATGGGGGAAAATGGCTCTTTTTTCAAGAAAATAACAATGGCGCAAACCACATCTCTCTATAATATGTTACCGGTTTCCAGCTACAGAGCATTTCTCAATTTCTGGCTAAACCGACTGGAGCCCTTTTCTCGTTTCTCGTTCAAGACATCTAAAAACGGTTTGAACATTCCACAGGCAATTTTTGAGATAAATTCGAAGGCAAACAAATAAATGTGATAATATTTTTAGTTTTTGTGATATGACCGCAACTTGTGTTTTTTCTACTGTTAACATACCATTTGGTTGCTTATATTAGCCTGGACGGGTTGGCTGGCCCCGGCACCCATGTTTGCAGGCTCCGAGTTCCACATAGTCCTCTCCACAGGCCATGTACCGTGGTACAACGAAGACATGCCACGGTTCCTGCGAGATACCGGTTCACTGCTGACCGACATTTTAGTGGTGCTCTTGGCCCCCCCATATTCGTCCTCGCTGCACCCGTCGCCCTCCACACTACTGGCTACTCCAGGCTCGTACTGAAATAATTTGTAATTTTCTACTTTAAAAAATTAACATTACTGCAATATTTTGGATGTTCATTGTAGTTTTTTGCATTTATCCGCTTGATTGAGAATATAAGGAATTTAATATTTTTATTTTCTCTTTGTATATTGTATGTTTAAGCATACAAATAAAATACATCGCTTTTAGAAAATAATCTGTTGCAATTTCAAAAGTTTGTTAATGAATTTAATCAGTAAAGTGGAGTATAATTTATTCTCCTTACATTTGAAATAAACTACCAAGGAAAACTTATACTATTGATACTACCTATGCTCTTTTCCCACTTTTTGTTTTTTGTTCTTGTCACATTTAAAATAGCAGTACTTCCACTTTGACTAATATTATTTGCATTTCCCGAATTGCTGAAGACAATATTATGTGCAATAAAAAAAATTAGGGTAATTTTAGCTAAAGATCTGATCTAATCTCTACATATTAAAATAAAAAAGGACCTCAAAGCAGTTTTTGCAAAATTTTTAACGTCACATCCAACTCCAAAAAGGAATTATAGGAATATCCACAAACAATGAAACTGTCGGAAGTATGTCAAGGGAAAAAAATTATAAGTAACTTCTCGGTACAATTCTTGAAATAATTTTACACAGTCGAATTTATTTACCCCGCTCTGTTCTGTTTATTTAAATCTTAACTTCAGTAGGAGATACCAATTTGCACAGCATCGTGGCCTACAGTCAGATAAATCTCATCAATCTTCGGGGGCTCCCCAAGTGTCGATTCTGGGACTGCACTTGTCTGTTAATTTTATTAATGATCTAACTGTATGCCTTGATGTCAATTAATTGTTTTATGCAGACGAACGTAAGTTATTTTGGAAGTTAAATTTTTCAAGGATTACAACAGATTACAAGATAATCTAGACAAAGTGAATAGTTGGTGTCAAACTGGTCTGGATTTATAAAATAGTGATTATTTAAATAGCAATTTACAATTTACTGACCTTGATGTTACATTTGATGCCAAATCCTCTTTGTGGTACACCTAAGGAATAACTGCCTTTTTGTTTTAATTTTAACAATATTTATTGGAGGTGATATATTTTCAATTATATACATTACTTTTTAAGATTATCAACAATTCATTAAATACAGATTCACTAGATTCACAAAATTCTTTACCAAAATGATTTCTCACTACCAAAAGACGAAGATCGAGTTAAGATAATTTTTCAATCTATTATTAAAATTAATAAAACATTTGTTTAGCAACAGTTATCTAAACTTTGTTGAAGGTGTATACTATTTATTTATTATTATAATAAAGTACACATTATAAATAAATGTTTTACATTCCTCCGACTTTAAAAAAACGCGGAAGGAAACCACAGCGAAACCCGCAACACTCGGTTATAAATAAATAATAAATTCAGTGACTCATTCCGCGAAATGTTGCTCAAGGCAAGGCTGGCAAATAAGTAATTATGATTCACGTAAATGCTTTCATTTACAACAACCAAAAACAAAATGGATAATGGGCGTTTCTCAATTACAGAAAAGGCATTTTAAACTTACATTCGTCGATCCACTAGCGGTACCATGCTGTCGGCCTAAGAGAAGAGATTCCATGGTATAGTCTAATGGTTCGCATGTGCCATCATTCTGTAATATAAAAAAAAACACATTAATCTTGACTGGAATTAATTATAAAACTGTTTCTCGCCACGAACTGGATGTATGAGAACGTACACAGGACTTTGCATGATTTTTACAAAGAAACGTGACGTTATTATTAAAACAATTAGGTGGAATTAGTAATACAGGAACAAATTTTGTTAATTCTGACTGTAAATATTTTATCGCTCTGCTTATAATAAGGTAAACAGTGGTAATAGTGAATCATGGATACGCTAAACGCGTTCGGCTGGAAAATTTTTATAAAAGATAAACTTAATAACGAAATAATTGGAAGACAGACAGCAAAATACAATTTCAACAATGTTTCTCTAAACTCACGGGAGACGATGGATTCAATAAACATACTCTAAAATCGGAGATACTAAGGGGTGATGCCACTAATTGTAAGATCTGTTTTGGCGCTCAGTAAATTTGATTTTCCTATGTTGGTGTTTCAGAAACTACCAAGGAAAAGTCACCAACTACGAACCTAGACTAAATCGTAAATCTAATCCTAGCCAGTAGCCACTCACATTGCTATTGTTCCGCTAGTGCCAACTTATTTCTATAATTCTATAAAATACCGACATATTCATAGTTCAAGCTTGGATGGTGGCAAAGATGATAATAATGTTTACCGATTGTACTACATAAATTATATATTATTTTTAATTATAAATTACTTTATTTGATAAACCTGTATTTTACTTCATCTATAATCCGACCTCAGAATTGCTGTATCAAGTTATGTTTTGGAGACATCCTAACCTAAAAATCCGAAAAACATGGTTATTCGCTATATTCTAGGCAATTTTTCTCCACAAAACACATTATACCATCCGGAAGTCGTCAGAATCCATTTCGAATCGATTTTGAGGAAAAAGTTACCTCGCAATGTTACTTAACATCAAATCTACAAAAAAAAATTTGTTTTCGCACTTTCAGGTTAGGACATTGGGAAAAAAATTGAAAAAGTATAGTCGGCCTGCGTCATAGATCATTTTTTTTTATCGTAAAGGCTTTATTTAGCACTTCCAAGTGTTTGGGACCGTCCATATATTATATAAAGTACCGCAAAACGCAAACCGCTCTCCATGGAAAATCTGCGTGTTATCTATCATTGACAATTTACAAGCAGGCAATTAGTGGAATTGTTTACTTACTTATAAAATCAACAAACAGAACGTGTAGTGCACTGGGTAACTCACCGTTTCACATGCAAGTTATTCAGGTATTTATTTAAGTTTTTCAGCTTCCTACTTCCTTGTTTACGTTCGATATACCCAAAGAACAATATTTAATACGTGTTTTCCAATTGATCTGGACATATGAGATTCATGTCACTCGATACTAAAAATACTAATATACGGCCCTTCCCCACAAACATTGGATTAACTTTTACGGATAGAATGAGGAAAAAGATGTTAGGTACCAGTACAACTATTTTTATTTTCTTAAAACATAAACCACTAGATACCAAATTATTTTGTAACATAAAGGTCTCTAGTGCATCCTGTAGCTACTTATTGTCGAGACAATAACGCTGTAGCCTTTTTTATAGTAACATTTTTACGGTCTCTAATTTATAATATACGTATGTACGTAAATTATAAAAGTACGAAAAAAGTGACATGACGATAAAGGCTGCATATATTACTCGTGTAATATACGAGTAGCAGCCTCAACTAGACCTTCAGTTTGAATCGACGAAATAAAGTTATTTTTAGCGTAGCCCCAATTTAATATGGCTTGTTCTTCTCAATTTGCTAAGTGTTGTCTTTAATACACGTATACCTTTAAATCAAGTGGCAGAGAAATGTGAATACGCTTTGATATAGGAAAGTTTCTGCTTAATTTTCATTTAAATTTTTCGTTGAATGATTCCGTTTGCTAACTGAAAATTGTAACGCTTTAGTTGAAATTATAGTGTTAATCTTACAAGTTGCAGTAGAAAATTGCTTATTGCAAATACCACTATATTGATCTTGAATGCAGTCCGGCCATGAATTATTCATTATTCAAAACATGCGAAGGAAGCAAATCGATTTGCTTAAAATTTTGGCTGAAAACGTCCGTCGTGCTTAGCTCGGCCATATACTGTGTTGTGTTTGGACGTTTGTACAACATTACAAAGCAAAGAACAATGCGTAAGACAAGAAGAAAGCTAATGTAGGATCATATTCGGTGCAAAGTAATAAATCATTGCTTGACAAGGGATCCAGTGCAGTACGGTTTTAAGGGGTTTAGAAATTGAATAATTTCTTTATGCATTATGAAGGGATGAAGGGATCAGTTCACGTCTGGCACCCTTGTTCCTACAAAAATTCCTTTATTTTCATAAACTATTTATTTTAAATATAATTTATTATAAATCCAATTTGTTTTTTAAATTCGACATAATGTATTACATTTTACCTCTGTACGCGCCCCTGTTTACTTGTTTTTTGAAGACGGTCTCTGATTTACGACCAAGCTCGCCAGATTAGTATTTGACGTATAACCGACCACTTCGTACAATCGATGCACCTGGGCGACTACAGCTACTACCAGAACACAATACGTATGAAGCGGTATTTCAGATTTTACGTTCAGTTTCATTTTAAATTTAAAATGGTTCATCTTACGCGTTCTAAAAATGATGACACGATTTTCCTTTGATAAAAGACCAACAATTTTTTGCTATACTTTGCATCGAATACGATCCTACTATACTTTTATAGTAATTAGGCGAAGATGCAAACATCTCAGGTAGATTACAACCAGAAGATCCCACAAGGTTCGATTTTGTGAATGTTTATTAGAACAAAATAATGACAAGGAATATTTCATCGATGCGTATTGGTAACCGACGAGACAATTAAACGGGAAATCGCCGTCGTATTATGACGTCACGTGGAGAGTAAATAACGATTCGTGGATATTGTCGGTGCCACGCTAATGGACAATGTTGTTAGTAATGCTAACTTATCTTTATACAGGGTGTTTCAGAAAGACCTCCCGTAAATACAGGGGGTGATAGTACGAAATAAAAATAAGATTTTTTTGTCATATGAGCTATATGTCTGTCTCTTCTTGTTTTCGAGATAGAACGTGACAAAATAAAATTTTTTAAATAGAATTTATACGAAAATTTCCAAACGGTGCGAAATATTTTTATGAAAATTGGTATTTCGGGGTTTTTAAGGATACCAAATACACTGGTATAATTATTTTTTGTGATTGTTAGTGACTGTAGTTAGTAATGACTAATTACAATCAGTAAAATTTTGATATAAAGTTAATTAGAGTTTAAAATATTATTAAGAATGTATGCCTTGTTTATGAACATCCATCAATAAGTTTTGACATAAGCCTATTTTGAGAAAAGTCACTTATTTTATACACCGTAATATTAATTTTAGAAAATAAAATTGTACGTTAGAAATTGGAGCCTGAATGGTAAAAAACCTAACCTCAAAAAAATTAGAACTTAAAAATGTATCAGGAATGTAGCATAATTAATTAGCGCCATCTATGAAATATCCAAAAAATAATATTAAGACTAGCGTATTTGGCATCCTCAAAAATTCTATTTAATACATTTTATTTTGTCGCTCTGTATCTCGAAAACGAGTTCATATAGCTCATAGGACAAAAAATTCTTATTTTTTGTAGTACTAACACCCCCTGTATTTAAGGGAGGTCTTTCTGAAGCATCCTGTATGTTGGCTCTAGCGAGTCCTAAAATTAAGTAAATTTCATATTTATTTTGTATTACGTATGTTTATAATTGATTTCTGTGATGATTATTGACATTGTTGTTTGTTAATAATGACTTTCTTGAAAAGCATTGCTCCTTTTTGAATTGTACCACAGACAAACGAAGTAAATTCTTTAATATTAGCTACCAGAATTTTATTATCTTGAAAATTCAATAATACAATTACTATTTACGATTTGTTTCCAAAATAAAAAAGTTATGTCGCTGTGTTTGTGCGTGAAATTTGTCTATTTAATTTTCGGCAGCTATTACTTAGAATTGAGGAAAATAGGAACGATAATTCATTTAGTAGGATTAAGATAAACATTATCAAAGACCAAAAATTAATTTTGGGGCTGACACGTATCCCTCTTTCACCGTCAAAACATTACCTAACACTGTATCCATGGAGACTACATAAGGAGCACGAACTCATACGGGAAAATTGACAAAATTTGTCCAAGAAATGGTAGATGTTGGGGTGGCGCTAGTGTTCCATATGTCCCAAATGAATGTAGCTTCATAAATACGAGTGAAGTAAGCAAATAACCAATTTTATTTTATTTATATTGAGTTTAGTAGATATATTGGGGAGCGGGGAGGTATACTAAGCTAAAAGCTAGAAGTCAAGTCAAAAATTATTACAATTTGTTTTTATAAATGGTAATTAAATGTTTCGAAAAATAATTTAAATATGGTAATAGTATGTGAAGTGAATGATTGTCAACAGATTTAAAATAAAACAGTACGTTTGTGATCTGCATTTTCAATCTAATGATGTCCAGCAGTTCTTTATTACATAAAATATAGTGGGTTAATATTATGGCAAAAAGTCGAATAATTCGGAAGATGGAAGCAGCTTCTTTGATTCTTAATACGGTAGAGAAATTTTTAAATAGAAATATTTCATAAGTGAAAATATTGTATAATTGAATGATGCATTGTTTCTTTATATATTTTGCAGCAGCATCAACAGCAAGAGCATCCGCTACACCAGCAACAACAGGTGCAGCAGCTACAACAAGAGCAACACTTACAACAACAACAACAACAAGAAGAACAGCAAGTAAATCAAGAGCAATTAAGTTACGATGAGATTATACTAGAAAGTGAGCAATCCTGTCCTGTATAATCTAATAAAAGAAAAGTTCTGTTGACGTGTGATGAGGTCTCGACGAAGCAACTATGAATATGTTCACATAATATTGACAATAGCAACCAAGTATACTTTATTTATTTCTACATA